AAGAGTCCCAATGATAGAATGGGGTCATATCATTAAAGGCATTAAGTCACAATGTATCACTATGTTTACACCCAATCCTACAAGAATTGACACTATTTAACCACATAGTAAGAAATAATAAAACATGGACCAGAAAGGGTTGGGAGCAGACAGTTACAGTAACTGACTCCTTTAATACTAGTGTTCCAGAGGCTGAGGCAGGACTGCCCCAAGTACAAGGCCAAACTGGGCTAAGTGAGCTCCTTTCAGGAAACTGAAGAGGGATAGAAGGAAGTACTAATAGAAAATCTAACCCATTAATAGTGACAGCCTAAATGAGAATATAAGAATGTAAAGGTACCAGGAATAGCAGTGAACATTTTTAATCCCAAGACTCGGGAAGCAGATGCAGGCAGATCTCAGTGATTATGAAACCATCCTGGTCTAAAAAGCAAGTTCCAGGACAGCCAGGGAGTGTTACACAGAGAAAATTCTGTCTAGAACAAAAAAAGTTAAAATAACAATAGTAGTAGTAGTAGTGGTAATAATAATTAAATTTTTAAAAAAATGAAAAGGCAGATACAAATATTAGTGTTAAGAGGAAAGAAACTTAATGAGGATGGAACACACGAAAATGTGAAGTAAAGACAGACCAGAGAAAAGAACAAGACACAGACAGGTCCATCTTAGAATGAAAAGTAAGACCACAACTTTTGTAAACAGTTCACCCAAAGTTCTATTCTCTACTGTTTCAGCACTCATTCTCTTACATTTCTGATACTTTTTCTATGATGCACACATCAAACCAGAAACATTTTGTAACAAGAGCTTCAAAGTATCCTAATTTCACATTATTTGGAACAGCAGTTGTGAAAATAAAACAGCCTTAACCAGGTGCTCCATATATATAAGGCTAGTAAACACCAGTGACTTAATTTATCTCTATCTGAAGTCCCATCATTGGATTCTCAGGGTCTTGGTATTATTTAGTAGCAAAGCCTTCTGCTGAACCCTGATGCAATAGAGCCTACACAGATGGAGACAAAACCAGCTATTTATTATTCTTCCTACTGATGGTTATTAACCTGACCTCAATAACTGCAGATCAACACCTCCTGCAGCTAATTAGTCATCAATAACTAACAATTACTATTTCCAAGAAATAAGTCTGGTCTATCTTGTAAAAACAAACAAACAAAAAACATTCAAAGACTGAAACCTCCTCATTGTTCTTTAAAACCAAATAAAGACTGGAAGGAAACAGTGGTGAAATGCTTGCTTAACAAGCCAGAGGACCTGGGTTCATTCCAAGCATTACAAAAAAGAAATAAATTAACAAACAAAAACTACAAGCAAGCTGAGTGAATAATCAGAAATTGATTCTGTTTCTTGTATTTTCAGATATGGTCTCAATATATAGCTTGAGCTAACCTTGACCAACTCCTGTCTCAACATCCTGAGTGCTAACTATAATGAGGCCAAACCACAGCCTACCTAAAAAACATCTTTAAAAAAAAATAAATCTTTAGCGGAAGTTGGCTCAGATGTTAAAAGCACTATTTGGTCTTTGCAGAGGGTCCAAGTTAGATTCCCAGCACCCACATGGCAGCTCACAACTGTCTGTAACTCCAAACCCAGAGCATCTGACACCCTCTTCTGATCATCTGATCTCAGCAGGCATCAGGCCAGCATACAGTGCACAGACACCGTATATACAGCAAAATGCTCATAAAAGAAAATATTTTAAGTTTTTTAAAAATCTCTTTAAATGGAGGGGAAATAGCAAGGGAAACAAAACTGACACTTAAGTGCCTTTTAAATGCCCTTAAAAGGTTAGTGTTTTGTTTTGTTTTTAACAAAACATGTCAGTATGAGAGGTGCCATGAATGTCAACTGAGGTTGAGAATACAACACAATATTAAAGACTTTCAAATTGGCTCAGGGTTTGATTCCAAACTGACCTTGATTCAAATCACTTAAGTTTTTGAAACATGTTTCCTATTCCACCAGCAAATCACTCAAGTTTTGGGGGCATTTATTTCCTAATCCATCAGTGGGAACTATCTCAAGTACTTGCTTGTGAGAATATGTGTCAGGCCATTTATCAGAGCCTACCACATGGAACACTACACTCAGCATCTTTTTCTTTTGTTTCTATCAACACACCTCACACTTATTACATGGCTTATCGGGAAGGTAAGAATTCACACATCTCAACAATCAAATAGTAAAGAGAAACTCATTAAACAGCTTATAAATAGAAATTAAACTAAGAAAGCTGATGAAATCGAATGCATGAGCTGAGAACTGGAGACACAAATGCAGACAAAGAACAGGTTGTAATGATTTCAATACTATTTTGAGTATGGAAAAATCTACACTGGTAATTCATTAGTATGTGGGCTTAGAAAATGTCATTTTGATGTTTCTTACAGCATAGCACAAGGTCCACATTAATTATTTATTCAAATGAAGCAGGTAATCCAGAAACAGTAACAGTTTCTATGTTCAGTCAACTCTATCATTCCTTCACTTAGCTACTCAATGATTATTAGGTGTCTATAAGTACCCAAATACAGTGTTGAGCACTAGGAACCAATGGTGGGCAAGACAGGCCAGATGCCACTGTGGAGTTTACATTATTGTTGACTCATTAACGAGCCAATGATCTGGCTCTACTACTAAACCTAGAAGTAAATAAACTTTTGCACTAAACTGGACAAGTGAATTCATGTTCCTCACCAGTATGTACATTTGCTATTTTTCTAAATCTTGTTTTTCAAATAAAACTAGACATTAATTCTGGACCCCAAATTTTTAGCAGAACATTTGACAAGCAACACTGTGCAAAACAAACCAACAAACAGCAATAACAACAAAAACAAAAACCTTAATTTAAGACCATACCTCATAAAAAAAGGACCAGCTTTTGATCCAGAGAAGACTGGGAAACCTGACAACTATCTTCATGGTTTAAAGAACTAGTACACAAATGTGTTTTGTACATTCCAAAGCATTATGTTTGGCAAATACATGGATGTGGATTTGTTTCAATAAGAAGATTTTTAACAATTCAAACTATTCGCAATTCAACAACTTTAAATTTCTGTAGGGCTGTATACTTTACAAAAGGCAAAATTTCATTTATCCCTTGAAATAATTTAAAAAAAAAAAAAAGAGACAAGCATTAGGTATTACAGTTTAGCAAACTTCAATGGTTTTTCGAAGAAACTGAACAAATCATACAAGAAAGAAACTTAGCAAACAGTGCCTGAACTCAAGTCCAACACCAACTGCCCAAACATAATGTGCTCCTACCTACTGATGAATTCAGGCATGAACCACATGGCCGGCCGTCAGAAATGATGGCCAATACTATTTAAAAGCTTCTTCTCAAACCAACCTATGCACACATAGGAAATAAAGCTGGTCAATAAACACACCATGAAAAGACTCCCTAGTGAATGGACTTTCTACATGCTAGCTCCATGAAGACAGTAACTCTGTCTTTCTTTACTGCTTCATTGCAGTGCCTCAACTAGCCCTGGCATATGTGTTCTTAGAGATTTACTAAGCATGCAGAGTGCTAATCACACAAACACTACTAAATAGTACACACTTACCACCAATGTGTAACAAAAAACCTCACTAAAATACCTAGAAACTCAAACCCATTGTTAAAACTGCCATTACACATTTAAACTGATATACAAAGTTATCAAACTTAACCTAGTCAGTTTGCAAACTGAATTGCAGATAATGAAAACTATTTGGCAAAGGTAAAGTATTACAAGTAAAAAAATAACATCATACAAAAAGCATGAGTCAAACTTGCTGCAAGAGTTGTCTGGCATTTTGTGTGTACTTGAACACAGTATGAAGAAATGTATACAGATTGTATTCTACTCATTACAGTTAGTAAAAGAGATTTGCAAATTTCACAGATATGTACACTGCACTGAGCAAGCACCAGCATAACCAGTCCTTACAGGAATTCATCAACCTGACATTCATTAGCAAAAACTAAGACAAACAGAAAAATAACCCAAATCCTAAAAGCTAGCTTACAATACCCCAAGTCATAAAGCTTAGAAGGGCTAGATATGTTAATATAAAAACCTACAATGTACTCAAAAGCCCCTTTTAACTCTACATAATATACATGTATCAATATACACATTTAAGACTGTTATTGTATAACAAGGCTTAACAGCCACATAAAAACTTTACTCCAATTTCTCCCGATTAAATTATCTCTACAAAAACTGCTATTACTTAAAAGGCCTAACTTACAGTGAGCTCAAGTTTATAGTGGTCTGCAAATGTACTAAGCCATTCACTCGGTTACTGCACCACCATTCCATTCACATTATTGGCAACTGAGTATTGAACATAAAGCATTTTCCCCTCCTTTATAAAGCCATGAGTTTGAAAGAAAAGGTAAAAAACTACCCGACACAAAAATATCTCAACTGTAATTCCCTTCCTTCAAATTCTACTATCAACATCAACGTCTACTTACACGAATCTCGGGTATTAAAATAAACTTTACAAAAGCTGCTTTTCCCATTCCCGTATTAACTACATGAAATATCTGCAATCTTTATCTAACTCTGACATCACCACCTGATTCTGATTGCTCTTTACAATGTAAGTCCCTGTACTGCAATCCATTAATAAATGACCAGCAAAGTAACCCTTTCTGCATAAACAGGTTTCAAAAGTATTAAGACAAATTAAGCTATTCCTAGATTTATCCAAACTAGCAATGTTGTGAGACCAGAGCAGTTTGCAGAAACCTGCTAGTAGTCAAAGCAACAAGTTTAAAACTTTAAACTCATAGAAATCGTCCCTGCTGCAGCTGGTCGCTTGGTCCCTCCGACCCCCAGAGCAGAGCCCCGCCCCGCCACTCACCCACCCCACCCCCCAGCTAGAAATCCCTCCTCTGGTACAAGAAGTGGACAGGGTGGACATGAGGCGCCTAACCCCACACTCTCTTAGGGGTAGGGGGCAGGACTCACCTGAGCACTGGGCTGTAGGGGCTGCGCGAGCGCCGCCAGCTGCTGCTGCTGTACGGACTGGGGGACACGTCGCC